AAAAAAAAAAAGAAAAGGACAAAATCAAAAAAGAAATTTTTTTTCTATGCAAAAATTGGATGACGAAGAAATCTCGCTCAGAGTAATAAAAAAAACAGCAGAAATTTCAAAAAGCACCGGAATTAAACACCTGTTTTGCAATTAGATGAATGTAACACTTTTATGTCTATGAAATTTAATTTGGAGTTCACGCATGTAAACCGCTTAACTTGGATTCTTTACGTGATAAAGGTTTTTCTGCTTTTGGTTCCCATCTAAGAAACTTAGGATCAAGACGTAATTTTGGAGGACGACCCATATTGATTGAACGACAGTAATCAACAAGCCTCCGCGTCATCCTCACCACATGGTCACCTTTCCAGTACTTAATTAACTGCATTGTCTGTAAAGTTGACATTATATCGTCCTCAGCAATGCCTGAATACAAACTCAAGTCGGCTACCTGAAAAACAAGAAATAAACAACGTTAAAGAAGTCACTAAAAACAGGGATTTCATGTAAGTTTAATATTTTTGAAAAAATAACTTTAAAACGAGGTAAAATACCGTAATATCATCGATGTCCAAACTATCGAGTGTCCCCAAAATGACATACCACCAATAACTACGGTAACTAACCTTACCCAAATCTGATAAAGGTTTCTCAGGCGTTCCAATGACTCCTTCCCTCGCTGATAATTCGTAGCCTAAAATATGTCAACTAAAACAACATAAAGTTAAATTAATAGTCAGATGGCTGAAGTCGACAGTGCAGTAACCGATGAAAACTTAAAAAGCTAGTTTCACAATTCGTCACACTACTCAGCAGCTAAATCTTTTCTATAACTTTCGCTTTATACAACAATTACGTCATTCAAAGACCAATAAAAATATACAACGTTCCTTCATATTTCGTTCATCAAGTTTCAAAGGAATTCCCGAACGATTTCCTAAACGAGAAAAACTGACTCAGCTGAATTAGCAGCTTGCCATAACCCTTGCGTTGGAATGGTGGCAATACCATAATGCACGCTAAATTATTTGCCGACATACGCTCTTTAGAAAAATGTCCAACAACATGTGCACCAATTTGGTCGACCTAAAGTCAAGAAACAAAGAATGTAACATTTGGAAATCTGTGTTGGAACAAATAATAGATTAGAAAAAGCAAGCTTAGAGATCCGCTAAAATAATAACAGAAGAAAAAATAGAAAATTTTCCACCTCGCACAAAACATAAAATAAAAAGGTCTCAACATCATAAAAGAGTGTCTTGTGGTCCAGAAAAAGCTTTGACAGCAAACACAAACACTGGCAATACGCCTGAAAACAAAAATTTGGAAATTTGTCACTTAAAACCACATATTCGTTTTCAAAGCAATACACACCTTATTCACTTTTCCGTCAACTTCAAACACAGATAGGTTTCCTTTCCTATAAATTTCGTCACCGGGCGGCTGTCGTCTGACACAATAGTGACCCTGAAGCAAAGAAGCTGAAGGAAGATTTGTTTTTGTGATCCTCTAACAAATAATAAAATTTTTGTGGAAAAAATCAATTTATAAAATAAAATTAAAAAGCACGAAATCACATTTTTTCAGTTCTAAAAGGTAGTAGTTGATTTACACTTCAACAGATTCAGATAACG